ATGTGACACAAAAATCTGAATTATGGAACTGAAAGTGAAAGTAGTCAAACTGAATTTTTAATAAAACAAAATACAGTTTCAAAGCAAATTAATTCAAATTAAAAACTTTAAATTCAGTTTCAGTTTTAGTRAAATTCATTTTCAAACCAATTCATTCAATTTCTAATTCTGCACATTCAGATTCAATCTGAGCAATTCAAATTCAATTCCTCCTGACACAAGATTAATTCCATACTAGCAACTTGCATGGATAAGCTGGCATTTAATTATTCAAAAAGTTTTATGTCAAATAAAGTAGGTAAGCAGCCTAGGCATGCTAGTTGCTAGCCTCTCCAATGCTAACACAAATAGTCTGTGCCATAGTCTTATTTTTGGCCCTCATACTACGCCGTAGATAAAACTGTTCATATTGTGGACAAATCCAAGTGAAACCATTGAAACTCTTCAAATGCAGTGACCACATTTTAAAAATAAATATTTATATCTGTAATGTGCAGTCACATGTTAAATTGTTTAGTAAGCTAATATTTAACTGGAATAGTAGAAGAGCCACAAACCACTTGGTCTTCAGCGCCCCCAGCCACACACCTGATTATAACAAATATTAAACACAGACGACATTTCAAACGATCCAAACTTTAAAATAAATCTCACACTCTTGTGACCGCAGTGACCTGTACCTTCAGGTAAATAATTGAAGTCTGGCACTTCCTGTTAAGTGTGAATTAAGTGAGAATTTTGTTCGAGGTTTTCAGAACATAACTGGTTTGACCCAAATTCTCTGATCCAACACATCCAGTCTCTTTATTTTCAGTTATGAGTTACAGAAACCCACTTTCTGCTTCTCTTTTCCACTGTTATCTTGTGTCATTTTTTTAAAAATCTTCAGCTCTGATTTGTTATGAAAGGACACAGTAATATTTTTGGCTGTGTTGAGGTCCAGTCTTGTGGGCTTTTTGACAAGAAATCAACCAAGACCGCGCCTGTTTAATGTAATGCCAGAACTTTGTAATTGGCAGCGCTGATTGTTCCTTTGATTTGTCCGTCCGTGTCTTTAAGGGCTGTTGTGGAATCTGAGCTGCACGCTAAGCGAGGAGTGTGTGGTGTGTTTTTGGCAGCGGTGCTGAGTGACAGCACGCCAGACCGGCCTGTTTGGCCGTCACAAGTGTTGACTGTGGGACGGAGCTGTGTGTTAGTGTGTGGATCGGGTCTTGAATCGCCGCCCACTTGGCACTAAATGCCTGCAAATGTTTTTTTTTTTTTTTTGGTCTGTAAATCAACGAGGCTGACCCACATCTTTGGCTGATTGATTAATCAGATAAAAACAGTTAAAAAGCTCTGCTGCTGTAAAACTTCAGGGAGTTGGTAGAAATTGTTAATGAAGCAAATAGAGCTGGGCAGTAAGTCCAGAAGTCAAGATAAGGATATTCTGGAGCTTTGAGATTTGATCCTACTTGTGATGCATGAGCACCTAGGGCTGTGTATTGGCAAGAATTTGGCGATACGATACATATCATGACAGAGGGGTCACGATACGATACATCCCGATATATTGCGATACTATAAGCAAGGCGATATATTGC